ATCAAGTCCAGTAGGAAGTAATTATTTTTCTTTAATGTGTTTCAATAAAAAATAAAATTTAAGAATTAGTATTCTTAGTCTAATTAATATTTTAATATTCTTTTATTTAGTTTTTCATAAGAATAGATGCTTTATTTTCTAAGAAAAGTTATGCGTAGTTTTTTGTAAAATATTTTGTCACTTATTTTTTTAAATTTATCAAAATAGTAACTATTAATTTAAGTGTAGAAATTATAAATGTCAAATAATGAGCTGATTAAAATGTTTGCTTAAGAGATATTTATTACTTCCATTCAAAGTGTCTAGTAACTATTGATTGAATTAATAAATGTTTTTATTTGTTAATTTATTAATGTAGTTTTTAATTTTAATTTGAAATATTTATTAATTTTTTTCAATATTATATATAGAAGATAAAAATATAATTTATAGTATTATATTAATTTTTTTGTAATAATATATATTTATACACATTTAATTATGAAATTCAATAATATATCAGTATTTATTTTCCAAAAAAATATTTAATTAATATAAATTTAAATTAATAAAATTTAATAGAACACTAAATCATTCTAGTTTAAGAAATTAAAATTTTTATTTATTCTTAAATTTTTAATTAAATATTTTCTGTCATGAAATTACAATACAGGAAAAGTCTTTAACTTTTTTTGCATAAATTTATAAATATAAAAAATGAAAGAATAAAATAGTTTGATTCAAAAAAATATGAATAAATAAAAAGTCAATCCTAAAATAAAAAAAAAAAAAAAAGGATATGTAAAAAAAATTAGTAATTAAAAAGTTAAATAAAAAGCTAATGTTTGAGTTCTAATTTGATTCAAAAACTCTTTCTCTTCATTTTATAATAATTAACAAAACTGTTTAAAAAATGAAAGTTAAGTTTTTGAGAGTAAATAGACAGATTTTCTTTATATATAAAATAATAAATTAAAACTTCCTGGTTTAGAAATCTAAAATGCCATATAATATTTATAATAATTATATGATTCCCTTAATAATAAAATTTTAAATTAAAAGTAAAAAAAATACACAATAATATACTAAAAAATTATTATTGATGAAAATACTAAAAAAATAAATATTATCTGATTTAAAAAAATAAATATAAATAAAAGTTATTGCATCAAAGTACTTTTTTAAATCCTATTAAATATTTTAATTATAATATTAATATAAGAAAAAATAATATGAAAGTTAGTTTATATAGTAAAAGAAAAATATTAATTAAAATGAAATAAGTGAATCTTTGAAGGAATATATTTAAAATAATAATGGAGTAAATATTTCATTTAGGACTATTAAACAATATTAAACAGATAAATATTAGATTAAAAGATTTATTATTACAAAAATATATAATTTGCTTTAATAAATAAAATATAAGTATAAAAAAACAAAATAAAGGTTTGTATAGCAAAGTGAAAAAAAAAATCAAAATGATTAGAGTAGAAAAAACTTAAATGCTTTTTGATTATATTCAATAAGGATATAATATAGTTTATATTGATGAAACAAGCATTTGTAAAAGTTTAAAATTAATAAAAAGGATAATAACCAAAAAATTAAAAATTATATATACAAAAAATAAAAAAATAGCAGAGATTGTCATTAATATGTGTAGTTAAATAAGATTAAATAATAGCTTATTAAATTTTCTAAAAAAGTGTAAAAAGTTAAGATTTGAATTTTTCATTATTAGCATAATTTTAAAAAGTAAACTCATTAAATAGAATTTAAATAAAACCATTTTTTATATGCATCATGCGAAAATTCTTTAACCATTTTTTTCAAAAAATAGTTTTTTATAAAAAAGTTATATATAAGGTAATGTAAATTTAAAAATTAGAGTTAACTAATATAAACCGTTTTTATAGTTATGATATTGGTTAAATAAAAATTATAATGAATTTTATAAAAATGGAATAAAGGATAGGACTAAATAACAAAAAAAAAATTAAAGATATTAGATAATGTAAAGAAAGAAACAAAAAAATGATAATAAAAATAATATTTTATTAATTTAAAATTAATATAAAAATTTAAATAAATAATGTTTTCATATATTTAAAAATTTGATATTAAAAAACAAAAATTAAAATAATATATATATATATAATATTTATATATATATATATATATATAATTTATAATTTTTTTTTACATATATATAAAATTATTTATAATTTGTTTAATATTAATTTATATAATAATTATATTTCTTTTTTTTTACTTTATTATTTTTTAAAAATTATATTATAAATTTTTTTTTGTTTATTTCAAATATTTATTATTTTAAATATAATATGGATTTTTCAATTCCAAATGATTAGATAAAATTTCTCTATGAAAAAAAAATAGAAGACATTGAAAAAAATCTATAAGAATTGGAAAAATAATATGGTTTTGATTAAATTGAAGAAGAATATCAATATAAAAGGCCTATACCTATTTGTTTGAATGATTAAAAAAGATATAAAAATTTACCTAAAGTAGAATTTGAAAGGCCATAAATAGTTAAAAAGTAACCTGAATTAAGCTAAAAATGGTAATAAATATTTAAATAAAAGCCAAACATAATGCGTTTTTATAAAGAAGATAAATATAACCCTAAATATTTTGATAAAAGTGATATTAAAAAAAATATTTATTTTGATAATGAAAACGAAGCATATAAAGAATACATGAAATTTTATGCAATAAAAAACTTATGAATTTATAATATTTTATATATTATATTAAATAAATTTTGTTCAATACATGAAATATATATTAAACATAAATATTAATTTTTTTTAAATATTTATTATTCATTATTTTTAAATATAAATAAAAAATAATTTTAGTATCTCTTTTTTATAAATATTTATATAATATAGTTTAATTAATTTTATTAAGATAATAAGGTTATACCTATATTTTATAAATTAATTTATTAAATAATAATTATTATTTATTTTATAAAAATTTATGATAGATGAAATTAAAATATGCATACATATTACTTTTTCATATTGTTTATTTTATTTTCTATATTTTTATAAAAATCAACAACAAAAATGTATTCGAGTTACAATTTTCCTCACATTTTTTTATTAAGTTTTTATAAAAAATACTTATTATTATCACTTATAAATATTTTGTTCTGATTATTAGTTTTTTTATACACTATTTAAGTTTGGCATTTGGCTTTTAAAATAATTAATTTCAGTTTGTAAAGTATTAGATTAATTACACTATTAGATTATTTTATCATCGTATTTATTTTATTAACTTTATTATTTTTTATTAGTGCTGTATTTTATATTTAATACTTAATTTAAAGAATTTGAATCTGGTTTTCTATTATACTATTAATGCTTTTTTTTATAAATATAATCATTTTCTGTGCTTATCCTAAAATCACTTAAAGATAAAAATTCAGGATGACTATCATCCTAATAAATTAATAATTTTTTTTATAAATATTGTATTTCCATGTTTTTAATATCTAAATCACTTTTTAATATTTTTATTTATTTAGTTAAATCTTATCCTGTTTTTTAATTTTAATTTGATTTTCTATTAGAATCATATTAATAATATTTTTATTTTATTTATTATTGAGTACTATTATCAAATAAAATTTCATTATTATCTTTAAATTTTTTTTTTTGCTTTTGTTAATAAAAAATGAAACCTTTAAATTTATTTAATTTTTTTTTAAGTTCGATATTTTCTTCAAAAATAACTTTGTATTAGTCAGTTTGATTTTTTTTAAGTTAAGTTTCTGCTAAAAGAAAACTATTAAAATAATTATATTTTTAATTATATTTTATATTATATTTAATACTCGATTTTTTATTATTTTTCTTTTAATTAAATATTCATTTTAAATTGCAATTACTAAATACAAGTGTGTAATTACTCATTTTCTTTTTTCAAAAAATTACAATTACAATTTTCTTTTTAATTATATAATTCATTTAATTAATAAATATAAAATATTAATTTTAAAATATACCAAAATCTTTATTTTATTCTAGATATTCTATTTTTTAAACTAATTCATCTATTTGACTTTGTAATTTAATATTTTCAGATTTTAAGATTTAATTTTTTTATATTAATTAATTTTTCTTTAATAAACTATTTTTTGATGGAGAAGTTTCGCAAGAAGATACAATTTTATTTTAAATTGATTTTTCGACATTTGAATTTTTTGAAGGCGTATACGTAGTTTATACTAGATTTTATTTTTAAGGCTTTTAGTTTAAAATAAATTAATAAATATCATTTTATAAAATACAGATTATAAATAAAATATTTGTTCATGTCTTATTTTGTAAGGAAAAATTAATTATTGACGCATATCAGGGCTAACCCTAAATTAAACTCTAGGCCTTAAACGTTCTGTATTATTTTAAAATAATTAACTTTATTTATACATTTTATAATTTTTTAAAATATAGATAAATTAAATATTTTTGAAATGTTAATTTATGTAATTTTTCAAAAAAAAGTAATAACAAATAAAATTTTTACTATATTTATGCAATTCTTTATATTTTTTATCAAATAAAAATATATATAGTTTTTTCTTATGTTTTTTTATAACTCATTTAATACAAAGAAAAAAAAAAATTATCAATTTTTTATTTTCTTTTTTTTTTTTTGTATTTTTATTTGAGTTTAAAAAAATACATAAAAAAACCATAAGCAATTAACAATTATTTTTTATTATATTTTAAAAATTATTTTTATTTATAATCATTGAATTACAATATAATTGTTATATATATTGTTACAACTTGGACATTTATTTTCTTCTGCATATTATAAGCAAATTTAGCTAATTTAAAAAAATTAAAATTATATATAATAAAATAATTTTTACCATACTCCTGCATGACCACAAGGTAATAACAAAACATTAATTTTATTTTTATTACAGTTTAGACAAGTTTTTATATTTTTTTAGAACTTTTCAATATCATTATTCAAAGCTTTTTATATATACCACTCTTCTTATTTATTTACCTAGCTTATTTTTAATTTAGTATCCTATTCTTAATAATTACCTTGAATATTTTAATCTGAATCAAATAAAGCTTAATTTTTTTGATTAGCATTATTTAAATATTAATTAGAATTTAATTTATTTTATACAACTTATTTTTTTATTTTAAAATTAAATAATTTTTTTAAGTATATATATTATAATACCATCATCATGTTAAATTTAAATAGTTTTAATGAATTAGTTTTAAATTTTTGAAATCTCTTTTTTTTTATGTTTTATGAGTAAATCAAGTTAATTAACAAAATTAACTTTATAAACTTTGTGTTAAATTTTTTCATTAAAATTTTTTTATATACATTCTTATATATTTGAAGGAATATCAATAGCTTTATTATTAAAATTGTTTATTTTTGGTAAGTTTTACATTTCTTGTAATTATTTATTTTTTAGATCTTCCTTTCTTAAACTAAGCATTTCAATAAATAAGTTAACATCCATACAAGGAATATTTTCTTCATCTATTAAATAATTGACATACTCTTCTTTGTAATTAAGAACTTTTATCAATTTATTTTTGAATTCTTATTTTTAAGCTTTTAACCATATATCATTAGAATCTTTATTTACTTAATTTGATGAATTTTTTTCTTTATCTCTTTTTTTATGTTAATCAATTTTCTAACGAATATAATCTAATGTTGTTGACTTTAGGTCTTTTTTAGATTCTTGTGGTCGTATATTTAATTTTTGCATGAAATTCAAAAATTAACTTGGTAGTTTTTTCATACATTCTCTTGCCAATTTATTTTAATCTTCTTTAAAGTTATTATATTTGAAAAAATGAAAATTAGATCTTTCAACATCTTTATTTAATTTGTTAGAATGTAAAACAAAATTTTTATTTTTAGGATCTAGCCTATATTTTATTTTATTTATTTTTAAATAAATAATAATATATTATTACTCGTTTTCAAATTTGCTAAATTAATAATCTCCTATTCCAACTACAATATAAGAAATAGGAAAACAACTGGCTTCAACTAATTCATCAATAATCGAATCAATATCATTAGGATCACTATCTGTAAGTATAAGCATTATGTAATATTTTTAACTAAAAGTTATAGTTTTTTAAAAAATAAATTTTTAAAAAATTACTTCTTTTAATCAATTGCTTCAGATTATGCATATTTGGCACCTATTTTAATTATTTCAGTAAGTATTGTTGGCCCATGAAATTACAAATGAGGAACTTATGTAAGATAAGTTTTAACTGCACCAACAGAACCATTTACACTAGGATCGAAATAGTTTCCGTTCAAAGCAAAACAATTAGATACTAAGTTATAGAAAGGAGGCAATTTAGCTCCGAATCCATATAAAGGAATATCATTATCATGATCAAATTATTATAAGATTACTGTTAAATTTTTTAAGGCCAAACAATATTCGCTCTCGTCTATTTTACACAATAAAAATATTTATAGATTAAAAAAATTATTTTTAATTTTACTTTATTTATTTCTAGGGTCAAAATAATGGAGTGAATTAGTTTTATTTTGTGGTTAGTTTGAATTAGTAAAATCAATGGCAGCAAGTAAAGAAATTTAAGTTGTGGAAACAAGATATGTAATAAAAGACTCTCTTTTTATGGTTTTTACTTTAAGAAGGTTTATTTAACCTTTGAAAAGCGAATTAAAAGTTATTCTAATATTTTTATTTGAGCTATCTTTCAAAAACGCTAATGTATGTTCGGCTTCACCAATAACTATTTATCCTTTGTCTTTATCAAATTCAACTACTTCAAGTTTTATATAAACTTTATCATCTTTTCCTAATTTTGATAATGGGATTTCAAAAGGTTTCCATGCTATAGAAGGTTTTTTATTTTTCTCATTTTCAGTTCTATGGACAGGTATAGTTTCTTTTGCTTAGTTAATATTACTTATCCTAATAAAAAGCTCATTTTTAGTAAAGAAACCTTATGCACCTTTAAATATTTGTTATTTAATTAATTTTAAAGAACATTAAAAGAAATAAAATACCTAAATGAAAATAAACTTTATCTCCACCAACATCGTATTCATTACATCTAATAGTGCAAGTTGAGTTTTTAAGTTTTTTGCTAATTTTTTTGTTAATAATAGGCATTGTTATTTAATGGGAAGGAGCGCACATGACTTAACTTAACTCAAATTCTACACTTCCTATTAATTCTTATTTTTCTATATCATCTAATTTAGAAAAGCAGTCAGTATCGTATATATCTAACCTTATCTATTTTCTTAATAGTAAGAAATAATTTATTTCACCAAATTATATATATTTTTTTAGATAATAATAATAAATTTACCTTTTAGACATTTATTATATTATATGAAAAGACAAAATATTTCAAAAATTTCGGATTGTAGGTAACAGGAATAACTTCTGTTCTTCCCCTCAAAATCCAATTTTACCTTTTTTGTTTATTTTTTTTATAATTTTTTTTTTATTATTTATTTTACCCAACTTATTCATATACAAATACTACAGGATCTGCTTTTCCTCTAGTGTCCATTTTAGGTAAATTCTCACATTACATATGCATCTCCACATTTTAAGTTTCGTCTCTATTGCATATTGCTTTAATTAATTGTGTTTTTTTCAATTAAAGAATAATTATAAAATTAAATACCTAAGGCTAAATTGGCAGCTTCGATTGTATCCTCTTCATATTCTTCTTTAAATAGTTTATCTACTTAATCCACTAAATTATTATTAAAATTAAATTGATTAATTATTATTTTAATTAACCATATCTATTGGATTAATTTTTGGATTTGTCTTTTTTTCCAATTATTCCATTTCCCATTTATATTATTTATTTAAATTAATCGAATATGATAATACTTATTTGAAAATTAATTATATAAATAAATTTTTTAATATATGATAAAAGCAAAATAATAATAATATATAAGAAATTATAAATATTTATAATAAAAAATATAGAAGTTTTTTAATTCTCATTTATTTTATTATCTTTCTGCTTCATCTTCATATTCGATTTGTTCATTTTCACTTTTAGATTTTAATTTTATGTCTTCTTTTTTAATAATAATTTAATTCATTTATATTTTCTCTATCAATTAGCAAGCATTATCAAATTATTCATCTATTTCTTCTTGCTTTAAATAGTAAATAAAAAATAAATTAGATAATTATAGGATAAATATTTACTTTTTCAATTATATTTTTTAATTTATAAATAACATCTTTTTCCGATTTTTCATCATCATTTTTATTCATACATAGAGCTCTTTTTAATTTTTGAAATAAAAATAATAAATATTATATGAGAAATAAAATAACCTTCCGCTAGGGAACCAAGTAATTTCTTCTTTTTAAAGTTTATTATATACATAACTTTCTATTCCAGTATATTCAGTAGTTTTTTTGTCTGATATATATGATATATAATAAAGATAATTCCACATATAATGATCATCCTGAAATTAAAATAATATAAAAAAATAAATGAAAAATTCTCAAATAATAACTTTAATACTTTAATATGAGATTTGAAATTTTAATTTTAATTAGAGTCTTTTTCTATTTATTCCCTAGAAAATCCACAAATAAAACATTTATTTTATAAATCTTCATTATAACTTTTTAAAGTATCTCTTAGTTCACCAAATTAATCAATAATAATACCTAAAAATTAAAAAAAATTAAAATTATAATTAAAAAAAATACCTGCAACAATGTTAAGCATAATAACCATAAGTAGAATCATAAAAATATTATCGAAAAAGAATCTTCCTAAAAAGTAACTTGTTGATAAATCTTCTTAATTTTCATGATTTAAATAACCTCCTAACCCTCCGTCCGACTTAAAAGATCTATCAAATGCAGTAAGTAAACATATAAATGTACTTTCACAAAAATTTGAAGGATATGATTCATTTAAGAAGTAATATCCAATAAGAGTAAAAGCATACATCAATACTATAAATAAAAAATAAGTAAATAAAATAGCTTTTCGAGGAATCCAAACTGATTTAACAACATTAAGAAGATCAGGAAAACGTACTAGTACATCAAACAAATGAAATAGGAAAAAGAAAGGAGTTACTAAAACTCCAATAATAGCTGTAACTCCGTAAATAACGTAATAGAGAACATAAAAATCAGAAAGTAGAAAATATACGGTTTTCAGCAATCTTATTACGTAAGCCATTAAATTAATTTTTCTTTTTTAACACCTACCCAAGCTTTCATTATAAGTAAAGGAGCGTTTAAAAGAAGAAAATAAAAAACAATTATGCAAGATAATACAATTACAATAGTTCCTATTGTAGGAATAGATTTTGTTACAATATCATCTAAACATTTTTTATAAAAAATTATATATTTATTAATTAAAGATATTTAAATTACATTTAACTGATTAGTTTCCTTCTTCATCTTATTCATATGAAAATAAAACTAAGAAATTAATCAAAATAGCCAGAATAAAAGCAACATCTCTTAAAAGATTAATTTATTAAGATAATATATGTAAAATAGAAATTTATTTAAGCCATTTGTTCATAGAATAGTTATGTTTCATTACCTTAATCAGATCTTAAGATTCTTAAATTAAAGAAGTTACTTTTCCTTTAACCGAAATTCTATTTGCATTCATATTAAATTTATTCTTAGTTTCTTTATCTAAATCTTTGCAGAAATATGGACAATAGAAATATGTTTTTTCAAGTTAATTGGTTTCTTCTCTTAAAATTTCAATATGTAAAGTATTTTAAGAAAAAAATTTGAAGGCCTAATCCATAAGTTTTTCCCTTATTTATCTTTATTTTATTTTTTTTAATTCTAAATCATCTTAAACTTTATTTTTAACCATTTATTAGACTCTGTTTGCCTATTCTTCAACCATTTATTTTAATCCTTTTGCAAAGCTAAAAACTAGATCTATAAGCTTAGATACAATGTTATCTTTAAGCATATTTTTGGAATCATCCGGGCCTATAATTTTTCTCTTTTTTTTCATATAACTTGCCTCTTCTTATTAAGTATCTTCTTTAAAAATATTTAAAAGAATGAATAAATTAAATCCTGTTTCTATTATAAAACTACACTTATTTAACTATTCTTAATCATTTAAATCAACTTTCTAATTTATATTTAAATTAAAAAAATAAAAATAAATAAAAAATATAAAATACTAATTCATTGTGGTTAAAAATATTTGAATCATAAATTCCATTATTAATATCAATAAATTAATGATAAATATCAACAATGTTTCTTTTAATTATATCAATATTTAGAGTTTTCATCATTCTAGATGTAATATCTCCATTTTTTTATCTAGCTTCAAGGAGAGAAATCAAAGTTATAGAGCATTTGTATTTTAGTTTTGCTATTTCCCATTTTGGGAAAGGCTCATCTTCAGCATCTTCTTACACCTTGTTTTTGTCTATCTATTCAACTTTTTATATTTATTATTTTTAATCTTATTATACTTTTCGTTTCTTTTTTTTTATTTAAAGATTTATATCATCAATAATTTCATCAATTGCTAGTAAATTTGAAGCTAAATCAAGAAAATTATCTTAAATCAAGGCATATTAATTTTCTATACATGGTCCTTGTATGTATTCAGTTAAAGTATCAAAACATTAAGTCATATTTTTGACAAAAATTATTTATTTTTTCTTAAAATATTAATTTAAGAGTTCAATTATTACTTCAATTAAATCAAAATTATGATAATTTTTAGTTTAAAATTTCATGTATCTTTATAATTCCAAATAATGACCTTCAGCCAAAAGTTGCAAAAATTATAAGATACTTAGAATTATGTCATCTTTTTCTTAGAATAAATACAAATTTAAATTATTAGTGTCTACAATATTCTATTTTAACATAGTTATTTACTCGCTTATTTAAGTATGAAGCCTTTTAAAAAGAACTTCACTGCTAGTATAACACATAAAATATGCATAAAAGCTTTTTTGAATTTCTCTATTTCCTCCTTCTAACAATTTAATTCCAAATTAAATAAGATCTCCAAATATTAAGTCACTGTATTAAGGATTTGAATAGTCACTTAAAAGATTTAAAAGCATTAAAGTAGCATTATTTTGATTTAAGAAATTTTAATTATTTTCTATTTATTCAGTTTCCATTTCTTGTCTTTTTTCTTCATTATCTTCTTTTTAGATTTCCTCAGTTTTAATTTAAATAAAGTTTCCAAGTATGATTAATATAAGTTTGGATGTTTCAATTTAATCATCTAAATTATGTGCTTTTATCAAAAAATTGATTAGCTTTTTAAAAATTTCTTTTTTGGTAACTATTTGGTTTACAATTTGAGTTTTTTTAAATAATTTATCTACATTATCTAAAGCTTCAGCAAAAATAATATGCTCAGCATCAATTAATGTTTTAAGATCTTCAGAATTAAGAAAATTATCAAGAAAAACATGCCATAATTTTTACCAAATCTAATCTTCTTTAAAACCTCTGAATTTTTCGACCTCTTAATCGTATTCATATTGTTTCTTTTTTGTTATATTTACAATATTCATCAAATTATTTGTTGCTTTAAGGTTTTTATTATTTGCTTACGCTTAACTATATTTATCCGTATTTTTTTTCTTTATAGAAGAAATTTATTTTTAATATTATTATTCTCTTGCTTTTGCCTTTATTTATTCTTAAGTTTATTCCATTTTTAATGCTTAAGCTCTATTTCCAGAAACTAAAGTTTTGAAAAATATCCATCTTTATTAATATGTTTCATATAAAGTAGGGCTAATACTAGTTTTGTTTTATGATTTTTTTTCAATATAATAAGAATCATTTACAAACATTAATTTACTGGCCTATATTGCTTCAACAACATGTAAAAGTTCTTAAGAAATATTATATGTATCTTATTGTTATTATTATTCTTTTTCTTATTTTAAATTATTTTCCGCTTCTATATTGAAAATACGCTTATAGGCACATAAAATATTAAGAAGTTAATTCAAATATTAATAATATAAATCTGAATAATTATTATGTGTTAAAATTCTTTAATTTTCACAGCGTAAAAAAATTACAAAATCTTTCACATAACGAGTGAATTCATCAGAAACTTTTTCAGTTTCTAAAAATGTGGAATATATATAATTTAATAAAGGAATTTTCATCTAAGTTATACCTTTAAAATAATCGTTAGTTTTTTCAATTTAATTATTTTCCTCTTCATCACTATCATCAAAATTATTATTATCAAAGTTTAATATTTAATTGATCTTTTAATTCGCTTCTTCTTCAACTTCTTCATCTAAACCTTGATTTTCAGATAAATCATCCTTTTCTCTTAAAAGTTGAAATACATACTTTAAACTTAGGTTTTATTTTAGTTTTTATTCGTTCATATATGTACCCTCTTTACCTGCAGCTGTTAATGATAGCATTTCAATTAATTTTGCATGGTAAAAATATGGCTCATCCTAATATATATTTTTATTTATTTATTAAAGAAATAAAAAAGTATAATAATATTTATTACCTTTTCATTATGATAAATATATGAGAATTTTTACTATTTATTAGTATATTTTTTTATATTAGAGTCATTTAAATATAGTAAATAAGTTCTTTATTTTTAATCTAAGAATGAATTCAAAACAAGCTTTTAATTTTATAATATATGTTCATCATTAACTTTTTGAATAATGATAAAGAATTCCAAATACTTGGCTTGTCTTCCATTTTAGGTAATTAAATCAATATAATGTCTCATTAATTCTTTTTATTTTTCAGTGCAAATTTTTTTATTATTTCTAAAAATTTCGCAATAAAGTTCATTAAGACCGATGTCTAAAGGAAGTGCTTAAGCAAGGGATATTAAATAATTACTTAGAATATTTTAATTTGTTAGATTTTATTTAACAAAGTTTTTCAAAAACTAGAAGCAAGCTTAGAATAATTATTTTAATTATTCAAAATATAAATGCTAAAGTTTTAAGTTACAATTCTATGCAACCAAATAAATAGAATCTTTTATTAAATTAATTGCAAGCAAATAAGTTTTTAAATGATTTTGCATTTATTATCTTATTATATTAACTTGTTAATTATCATAAAGCAATTCAATATTATAACTTTTTTTATCTTCATGGACTATAAGGTTACTTCCTTGCATTAATATTTAACTTAAGAATTTAAAATCTTTAATAGTCTAATCTAAAATGACCATATTTTTTCTTTCCTTAAGATCATTAATCCAAGTTTCAGACTCATCAATATTTTTAGAAAGACTTTTAATTTTCATTTTACAAAATTCGAATACTTTTTAATTATCATCATCAAAAAGAATTAACATTTAAGAAGTTAGAGTTGCAAATTCTTATCTTTAATTATAAAATCTAGTTATTATATTAAGGACCTACTTTTCCATTTAAAAATTTTAAGTGAAGCAAAACATTAAGATTAAATAGGGGAAAACTTCATAACCGAGAATTTGATTAAAATTAGGAACTTCGTTACCTTTTTAATTATTTTTGTCTAAGCAATATGAAATAAATTATTTTTGAAATTCTTCTTTTTCATCAACAGAAGTTCCTGTCATTAAAACACTTGGAAGAAAAGCATTTATATTATTTTTGATTGTTTATTTGAAATCATTAAAGGCTTACTGTTTATCTTCTTAATTTTCAGATTGAATTTTTCTTATTAGATCATTTTATTAAACTATTTAGAAAAATTATTGTTTTAATCTATTTAGCATAAAATCTTATTAATAGTTCAAATATTATTTAAGTATATCACACATTTCCTTTTTTATGTTGAAATAATGAGTATTTTAACTATCACTATTTTATTTCAGTATAATTTTTTTTAAAACATCGGCTTATTTTAAAAAACTGTCTGCTTAATTTATTTCATCTGCAATTGCTCCTTCTTAATTTCTAATTTAAAAAATATATTTTTAAATATAATAAAATATTTAAAATACGTTTATGATTTTTTTTTTTTCTTAGATTAATCTTCTTATTAAAAAACACTAAATATATTAATTATGCTAAATGCTTTTCCCATTAATCCAGTCATATTTTAGAATAACTTTTTTCCTTGTTCTTAATATTTATTTTAACCAGATTACTTTTACTGTCTTTTTAATATTAAAATATTTCTTGCCTCTGGAAAAACTTTATCAAATTCAAAAATATTCATCATACTACTTATGTTTTTGAAAAATTAATCTTATGGGATTATTTTACTTTCATTATTATTGTTATTTTGCTATTATTTAAAGTTTTTTAATTCTTAATGTATGTTATATTTCCCAAAATCTATTAATAGCCTAAACAATTTCATTATTTCAAAAGTTAAATTATTATAAATATCTTCACTTTTTTGCTAAACTAATTTACAATTAGATTCATTGTTTTTACTATTCTCTCCCTCAACTATTTTCTACATTTATTCAACAATTTCAGACTTTTATTATATATATTGTAAAATTTTAGCTTAAATTTAATCAATAAAATCCTTTTCTTATTAATTAATTGCGTCATAGTCTTATAAATCTTATTCGTTTTTTAATATTTTACATAATTCAGGTACATATTAAATTCTTTTAGGTTCTTAATCTAAGAAAAGTTTATTAAGTAGTTAGCATATTATTGAACGAATTTCATAATTAAATTTTTAATCAGTAATTGTTTCAACAAGTGCATAAAAGTTGCAGCTATTTTCAACAAACTTTTTCCAAGTATTATTTCTATTATTGCACATACTAGCATAAAATTGTATTTGATCCGATATGAAATTTAGAATTTCTGTATCACTTTTAATATAATCATTTTACAATCTTAAATAAATAAAAATTATATAAATTAAAATATATAAATTTATTTTTTACAAATTATCTTATTTTTAAGCAACATCAATATTTTTTTTGCCTATTTAATGGAAATTTTTCTAATTTACTATATCAACTAATTTTCTTTATTCGCTATTAACAAAAACTATAAGAGTAGGTCCATCACTTTTTATTCTAATGAAATAATTATCTTCATAAACTTATTCTTCATTTTTCGGAATTAAATATTTATAAATTAATTCTTAATTTACATTAATTCCGCATTATCTATAAGTAGCTGCAGTTGCCAAAAAAGAAAGTAGCTTTCTCTTTATTTCAAATTTATTATTTTTAATCAATAAATAACAATAAAAATCTATAATATCCCATTATTCTTTTATTTTAAAATTAAGATTTTTAAGTTATTAAGTAATTTTTTCATATTTATATCTATACTTCTCTTCTTATTCTCTCTAATAAATATATATTAATAATAATTATAAAATTATATTTTTGTTTACATTATCTAAAGAATTTTAAGCCTTTTTGTTTATATTATTACTTATTGTAATCCTTTTTTTTTTTCAACTTATCCATTCAAGTTATGTAATTGATAGAGTAATTCTTCAAAATCTAAAATTATAGATTTTATACATTCCATTCCTCCTTCAATATATTAAGATTACATAGCAATTAAAGGCAAAAAATTAGCAGCTCTTTATTAGTTTCTTTAATTATTAGAACAAATACTACAAATTACTTTATAAATTAAAGTACAAATTTTTTATTTTATTTAAATAAATTCTTTCTTTATTTACAATTCATAATTTTGTTTTTCATTTTAAGCTTTTTCCATCGTTTATTATATTTCTTTTAAATGTTCCAATTTAGGAAATGAATTTGCAAGAATTAAAGTCAATAATTCAATAAAGTATTATTCTCTAAGAATATTTTATATGAATTGATTAATTTCTCCATAATCTTAATCTCTATATAGATAAGATAATAGTTTGTTATAACAAAATAAATGTAATTAAATTAGGCAACTTTCTAATTTTTAAGTCTTTGATAAAAACAAATAAAATTCTTATTCGAATTTTACTGCTTTTATATCTTTAATAAACTAATATTAAAAATTATTTTTCTTCTTTTTTTTTTTTTTCTTTTTTTTTTTACTTCTGGAGTTAAGTATTTGTAAACTTTTTAAATTGTTTTTTTACATTCAAGTAAAAATTAAGTCATTCTAACTTCATTCAAATTAGCTTTTGCGAGTTTAAAAACATATTCTTCCTTTTTTTTAGTTGAAAATTAAGGTTGAATCAAATTTTATATAAAATCATCATCAAAATCAGCTTTTGCTATATTTTTGTTTATATAATTTAATATTTTTTTATTTTAGTTTTATACTATCTATTTTTGTGTTTGTGTTATAATCATGTTAAGCTGTTTCAGCTGTTTTAAACCAATAATCTTCTTCTATATTGCTTTTGTTATTTTTAATTTTACAAGACATTCTAAAATATGAGTCTTTTTGTAAATATTTTATTAGATCAGTTTAGTTCTTTGCAATTAAGGTAGAATATATTAAATCAAATTTAAAAAAAGTTGCTTAGTCTGTATCATTAACTAAGATTAATTCTCTTTTTTTTTCATATTTATCAATTTAATTTAAATCTTAAATATAATCGCCTATTTTTAAATACAAATTAGTTGTTAAATGTCTAAATTTATAAGAATTATCCCATTCAACTAATCCTCCATTTTACATATTATCATTTTCAATAACAAACATTCCATTAGTATTTCCAATAAATTTTTTATATTTTTCTGTGGAATCACAACCTTCAAATTTCAACATATACGAATTTTATTTTTAATCAGTTTATTTTGCAATTAAATTAAGCTATTTTTTTTTTTGTTTATATATCTTATATGATATTTTTTTAAAAATACATCTTATTCAGAATAATTAATCCATATAATATCACAAATTTAAAGTAATCCTTACCTTTCATCATTATATTCGCAAAAAACTTTTATTCTAAAAAAAAAAATAAAAAAATATTAAATTAAGATATAGTAAAATAAATGCTTTGTACTTCCATTAAGTTTTTTTATTAGTTGAAATGTTAACTTCTCTTTTTTGTTTTTTTTTTCCATTTTAAACTGTTTTTTTAGATGCATGCAAATATGGAGTTCCTGAACTAGTAATAGAATCAATTATACTCGTTATATAAACAGTATCTTAATCAAAAATAAACCCTTTACTTTCTTATTAAAATAAAAATCCAGGCTCAAAACAAAAAGATGTTTCATTACAATATTCATCTCTCAATACACATCTATGTTATAAAAATTTATATATATTTAATATCATTTAATATTTACTTTAAATTATCACTTTCTACTTCTGAAATATTATTAAAATCAAAATATAAGTATTTATTTGAATTATAATGGAGTAATTATATTGTACTTCCAAATAATATTGGTGTTCCTATTAGTTTTTTATATTAATCATAATTTAATAAAACTTCTTCTTCCATTGATTTTATTTCTTTTGGTATATTTAATCTTGCAGCTATTTTTTTATTTTTTTTAAATTTAAAATAAAAAAATTATTGTACATTTCTTATCTAAAAGTGAAATATTTTTTTAAGTCTTTTCAACTTATTTTTTTTAATAGTATTTGTTTTTATTTTTTAGATATTCATTATAATAGAATTAAGGATATAATTTAAACAAGGCTTTTTAATAATTACCGTTTTTTTTCATTTCAGTTTCTTTTTTTAATATTATCTTATCTTTTGTGAATCCTTATGCAGATATATAATATTCTTATCCAGTTTCATCCTCATAACATAAATATACTGTTGCCCCAAAATGAAGTACATTTCTATCATATTTTTTATTGCCTTATTATTCATCTGATTTATATTCACTCATTTTAGATTTAAAAAAAAATATATAAAGTATATTAATTTTGTATATTGATTTTAATTTTTTTTGTTGTTTACAAATTTTTTAAATATCTGTTTTTACTTATATTTAAAAAAGTGAAAAATAATTTATTAATATTAATAAATAAAAATATACTTTTTATAAATAATTTAATATTAATCTAATTTTTTTATAAATAAAAAATAAACTTAAAAATTATTTTAATATATAGATAATGATTTATATTAATATTAGATTTAAAGAAAAAATTAATATAGAATAAACAAACAAAAAATATAGATATTAAAATATTTATATTTAAATATTAAAATTTTATAAATTTATATTTATTAATATTATTTAAAAAGACATTCATTATAATAAATTATAATATAATAAATTTCATTTTTATTATATTAAATTAAAATATCTTCTTTTATTTCATTATCATTTTCAATTTTATAATAATATTTAAATAATTTCTTAAATATAAAAATATATATTAATAGTATTGATTTTTTATAAAAAAACAACCTTCATTTATAATTCACAATTATAATTTTTTATTTAAATAGTAGAATTTACTTGTTTGTATATATATATATATATATATATATATTTCTTTTTATTATCAAATTTAATCAATTTCTTTTTTTATGACTTTGATTGATTAAATTTACTTGATTACTATTTGTTATATAGATTTTATAAAATTTATATATTTATTTTATTTTTTATAAATGGATATATTTTTTTAAAATAATAAAAATTATTTTTAAAATAATATAATATTTTAGAAAAACAAAATTTAATTATTTTATAACTTCAAAAAACATAATTTTCGGACTTTATATATACAGACACCTCAGATAGTGTTATTTCGGTCGGTTAGTTATATTAATTAGTTAAACAGCGCAAATATCATGAATTAATAATTCTTGATTTATATGATTTCATAAAGGAAAAGCACAATTTTAGTAGAGCGGCTGTCGGTTGATCTGAAACAGTTTGGCTTATTACGTATTCTGCATACATCTTACAGGCTACCAATGAGGTTTAAGGTGACTTATTTAAAAAACGAGTATTTAAAATAAACAATATTTAAATAAAAAGTATTTCATAAATATTCACAATAGTAATAATTTTATTTTTTTAATTTCGATATAACCATATTGAATTAGTATTTTTTTCAAAATAAAATTTATAATTTAATAAAAAAAAAAAATTTAAAAATATAATAAAAAAATAAATATAATATATAACATATAAATTATAATTTTTTTATTTTTATTTTAGATTTATAAAATAAAATATTTTTATTTAAATTAATTTATTAAATATAAAGATTTTTATTTATTAAAAAAAAGGAATAATCTTTTAAATATATTTTTTTTTTTGTAAAAGTGTTTAAGTATTTTTTTATAATTTAATAAAAATAATATTTATTATTTAAAACTATTGAATTTTAAACTAGTAGGTAACTTTTATGTAAATTATCGATAGTTTATAAAAAAATAAAAAAATAAGAAATAAGTATATTATAAAAATAAAAGAAAAATAAAATGTACTAAAGAGTAGAATCCGCTACTAATATATTTTTATAAATAATATATTTTTAATTTAAATTTACCCAGGCTTTTTAAAAAGATTTAAAAGATTATGTTTAATTAAATAGAAAAAATATTATTATTTTTTGTAAAAATGTAAAAAAATATTTATAGATATGATTGTATTATATGTAATAATATATATATATATAAAATAATAATATGTAAATATATATATATATATATTTATTTTTTATATATATATATTTATATATAAAATTTTTTTATATATTACTTATTTATTATATGTTATAGATTTTTTGATTTTTTATTTTATAATATTAAATATTAAAATTTTATATATTTTTTTTATCTTTACTGTTTTTAATATTGCTTATTTTTTAATATATATTTTAGGTTTCTAAATACAATATGAAGTTATTTTTTAAATTATTTAACTTCAATAATATTATATAATTTTATTTTTTAAATTTAATTTTTTATAATATTAATATAATTTTTTGTTAAATATTATTTCTTTTATTTAAATTTAAATAATACTTAATTTTTATATAGAATATTACAGAAAAACACAATAATTTATTTAATAGATATAATTTATTTTAAATCCTTAGATATATGTGTATTATTATTATCTAATAAATAAAATACTTTTTTTTATAAAAGCAATAAAAAAAATTTTCATTTTAAAATTTAATAATGTATAATTTATAAATATATAAAAATGATAAAAAGTAATATATATTTAAAATAATACATTGAAAATAAATTATAACATATTTTTATCAATAAAATTTTATTATTTATTTTCAATAATAATTTTATGTAAATAATATAAAGATATTTTTCATTATATTAGCTAATTATTTAAGTTTTGCTTGATATAGAAAATATTATCCTAGTAGAGTTTTATAGTTTAAGAGTAAATCTGCTGACAATTTTTTTTAAATAATTTGTAGAAACTGTTGAAATAATACAACTTCTATTAAATATTAGTTTAAATATCAAAATTTATACATACGAATTAATTAAAAAAAAATTGAGTAATATTAATTATTAATTGCTCATATTAGTTTTTTATTTATAAAAAATGGATATAAATACATAAAATAGCAAAAATTTTATTTGTGTATCATAATTTTTAAATATTTTGCTTATTAAATAAATATATATATTAAATTATCATATAAAATTAATAATATATTTAATATAATCATAAATTATTTATAATAATTGAGAATAAAAAAATAATTTTATTATTTTTGTTTTTCAATTTAAATTTATATAGATAATATATAAATTAATTGTATATCCGAAATTACTAGTTTTTATTAAAATTTAATAAATGAAAGATAATTTGAATAAATAAGTATATATAAATAAAATTAAATTAAATTAAAATATATATATATATATATATATATATATATATATATTTATATATATATATATATAATTATTTTTAATAATGTTGTTTAATGAAAATAGTTTTAAATAAATATATAAAATTACCAAAAAGCATTAAAATAACATAAAAAAAATATGGATTGTCTTATAAAATATCGTTTCAACAAAAAGTTGTTTTATGATGTTATATCTTAATCTATATTGAAATCTAACAAAAGGCAAAGTATCTGTAAATTAATTTAAATAAATTATTTAAGAAGTAACGTAAATGAATCATCATATTATTTAAAAATTATAAAAATAGTTAACTTAAGAAAATTATTTGTTCTGGCTGATTTAAATTTTATATAGATATCTTTAAAATACAATATTTTAAAAGAAAAAAAAGTTTAATTATTAGAAATTGTAAAACTAATAAAAATATTTTCAATAACTAATAAATAAATTAAAATAATTATCTTAAAGTATAATTGAAAAAAATATAAAAATTGAAAATCGATTATAATATTTAAAAATTGTTTTCATATAAATTATAAATGTTTACAAATAATTTAATAAAATAAAATACACATTTATAAAAATTAATTATTAAAACCATTTTTTAGGCAAAAGTCTAAAAAAAATACAATATTATTAATTATTTAAGTTATTTAATATGTTTAAATAAAAAAGGTCATAATTAATATTAAATTAAAAATATTAATTAACAAAATTATTTTTTCTTGTTTAAATTATTTAAAATTCAAAATATACAATAAAAAATTACTTAAAAAAAATAATAAAAAAAAATTATTTATGACCTCCTTTATTATATTAAATACTGTTATATAGAAATTTTAGGTTTTTTATATGTAATTTTTATTCTATTTAAATCATTATTTTCTTCGAAAAATTAATTTATCTTTATTTTTTTAAATAAATATATTTAAAATATTTAGTTTAAATTTATATTATAATATTAAAACAAATGGATGAATAATTTAATGAGAACGATTTAATAAATTAAGAATTTCAAAAATTTTCAAATAATTTCAAAAATAATTTGTTTGAACTAACATCTAGGATTATTAAGGAAAAATAATTAAGTTAATATATGCGTACAATACTTTTATTAATAGAAACAATACAAATATTAAATTTTTAGTTTAGTGTCTAGTTTAAATCATCATGGAAAAAAATAGATACATTTGAAATCATTTAAAAAATATTAGGATATTCATTAATATATTAGTATTTTAAACTTGATACTTTTTAATATGATTAATTTAGATAATATTAAAGTTTATTTTATACAATAGTATTATTTTTTGCTTTATTTTTTTTAATATTGTTATTTACTCTTTTTAGTTTTACGAAAAAAGGAAATGAAAATTTATCAGTTTAAATAAAGATAATTCATATAATAACTGAATTATTATTATCTATTTTATATTTGCCTTTTCTTTAATTATTTTTAAGCCCTTTTAATTGCATTTATATTAAAAATGCAGGAAAAAATGTGCTTGTTCACTCAGTTTTTTAAACAGTAGAATGCTTTACAGAAAGTTAATTAGTATAAGTTTTTCTTGGAATAACATCCGCAATTTTAATTTCTATTTATGTTGGTGTAATGACTCTAATTTATGTTAATTCTAATGACAAAATGCATACATTCAATTCTAAAACTACAGGAAGAGGAGATTTTATATTTTTTTTATACAAATTATTAATATAAGTTTTTTATATAATATTTTAAGACAGTTAAAGATTATAAATCTTATCAATTATTCTTATTTTTATAGGTTCTTTTTTGTTAATAGAAATATATTAACTGAATCTAATCAATAAAAATTATTTCATTAATAAAGCAGTAACAGCTTAACATTCAATTAATATGTGACTACTCTAATTCTTATTTTAGCTAAATTTACTGATTAATATGAATTCGAAGGTGCTATTCCTATATGGCTTTTAGGAATACCATTTATATTTTTAATTATATATACTAAAAATGAAAATAGGTTATATTTTTTTTTTTAAAATATATTTTTTAATAAATAAATGAAATTACAAAGATTTGATATTTTACTTATAAATAGTAATAATTATGAAATTTTATAAGATAGTATAAACTAAATTTAATATTTAACGATTCTTTTACCTCAATATAATACAAATAAGCATGTTTAAATCATTTTAGATGGTTTTTTAGAACATCATAGACATACTTGTAACAAATAGGAATGTCCTTCGAAATTTAGATTTGCAAAGACAAACAAATTCACTAAATAATTACGTAATGAAAATGTGAGTGAATAGCTAATTCTATTGTATTAAGTAATTTAAAATATGTACTATTTAGCTTTGTAAAAGTTTCCTAATAATACAAAATTACGTATTATGTATGCAATTTTTTTGTTTGATATAATTTGCTCTCCTTAATAAGCATAATAAGAACTTTTAAATGCAAAAAAAGAAAAACCCAGTTTTGATGAAGAGTTTTAAATTTATTTTTTTAAAAATGAAGTTGAAAATGAACTTTATGAAAAATCGCTCCTATAAAAAAATCAAGAATAATCAGCAAACAATGATATATTTAATGAAATTACAGTTTAAAATTATTAAAAGTATATATATAAATATAAATTTAAATATATTTATATGTATTTATATATATTATATTTATATATATATTATATATATATATATATATTTATTTTATTTATTATATATATAATAAAATAAATTTAGAATTTGTTAAACTCATATTGAAAAAAGTTCTTTTCTTTATGCTGAATTTTGGTCTCATTTAAATGAATATAATCCTGATTTGGGAAAATTGAGTGATATTGGTTATAAAATATACATTTGCAAATAAAACATAGAAAACTATTGGAACAGATTAATGAAAATGAATGTTTTTATACCTAATTTGATTCTTTTGTATTCAAAATTTTTAAAGGAAATTATGAACGATAATGAAAGTTCATTATAAATACTAAATAAATTAATAGAAGTTAATTTTAACAATTAAGCTTCTAAATCAACAAATAATATAGATATATAAACTTGTATAAAAAAATTAAAAAATAAATATATATTTATTTAATAAAATTATAGATTCTTAACCAACTATTATAATAAGTGCTGATGATGATTCTTTTTGTCATATAATTAATTTAAATTTATCAGTATGTTAATTAAGTTTATATTAAAAAAAAGAATTGTTAAGTAAGAACATATCAATTTTAATGCCTTAAATGTATGCTAAAAATCATGATAATTTTATTTAAAGATATTTGACAACTTTAGAGCCTCGTGTGTTAAATGTAGACAATCTAGTTCCTTTTAAGACTAAATTAGGATATATTTATATTTCAAAAATATTAATAAAGCACGTTTCATCATTAATAAACGGTCTATAATTTATAGCGTATTTTAAATAGAGTAAATTTTTAAAAGAATAATGCAGTTTAATTATAAATAAGAATGGTATTATATAAGATATAAGTTCTTCATGTATAACAATGTTAGGTTTAGATATAAAAAAGCTTTCGAAAAAGGAAAACTTAATAACTGATTGTATAGAAAATTTTTGGAATCATCTAAAGGAATTTTAACAAAAATAAGGACTTACTGTAACTGTGTAGAATTTTAAAAAAGAATGTAGTAAATTTTAAGCTAATGTTACTTGTACTGAAATAAATTTTAAAATTTCTGGAAATTTAGGATAAATTATCTAAATATCAAAACAATTTACAGGTTTATTAAAAGAAAAAAATAATTAAAAAACATCTTAATAATTACCCAATTTTCACCTTTATATGTATTATAATGTTGAACTAAATAGTTTTGTTGGTTATTAAAGTTTTGGAAAAACTTGTCATATAAATGAAAATTCTAATACAGAGACTTATTAAACGCATATTATTTAGTCTCAAAGAAATGAAGATGATCATTATTAAAGTTCTTTTAAAAGTAGAAGTTCTTTAAAAGATACATAATAAAGGTAAAATATTAATTATTAGTAAGGAATTAAAACCCTTGTATTAGTAAATAATTAGTTAATAGATCTAGAAATTATAAAAAAAAATGAATAATAAATAGAAGATATATTAGATTCCTAAAATGAATATTAGGAAGATTTAAATAACTACGATGGTAATAATCTCTCAAAAAACATATAAAATAATGAAAATAAGTGTTATTAAAATAATGTATTCAAAAATAAAAAAAAATTTATAGAATTTATTGAATAAACTGATTTCCTAAATATTCCACTTTTTTAATATTTCAAAATTATTTCATTTGTATTCATTCTAGTTATAGTTGGATTAAGTTCTCTTAATAATATTGTTAGTTCAAAAGAATTATCTTAAGTAACAAGTTTATTTAATTAAATTTAATATTCAAACGAGTTGAATTCAGATATGCAAAGAATTGTTCTCAAACTACTTTGTTTGCATTTAGTGGAAACTGGCGTTTTTATTTAAAATGATACTTTGATAAATGATATATCAGAAATTTTCGAAAACATTAAGGTTTTATCAGATATCATAATTTAAAATGAAAATCAAATGCTTTCATTAGAAAGAAAAAATTTAATATCTAATAATGTAGTAAAAATGACTTTTTTTTAAAATGAAAAATCTACTTTTATAAAATATTTTGATTTATACGAAGCAACATAATAAATAATTAGCAAAATAAATGAAATTGTTGGTTAAAAATAAAATAAGTAATCTATTATATTTAATTATTAAAATCCAACATTCTATTTTCTTGTAAATAACCTTTTAAATGATTATTATGAAAAGCTCATCTAATAATCTCAGTATTTAGTTTTGGAGCTAGAAACTTGGTGCATGATAAAAAAAGATTCTTAAATAGCTTTGCTTATAATATCAATTGCAATTATTATTTCTTTTTTTTTTATTCTGATATTTTATTATTTCATAATAAATAAATATTAAACATAAATATTAGATGTTTTTCTTGAAATTCCAGCTGAAAAAGTTAAGTAATATATTAATTATAATTATTATAATTAATTTTATTTAAATTTTTAGGAAGCTTTTTTTAAAAAGTGAGTTGTTTTTAATGAATTTATAAAACATAGATTTAGATGAAAATACTTCTTAAGAAATAAATTAAACTTAGCAATAATAAGAGGAGTAATAAAATCTTATAGTTAAAAATAAATAGAAACGAAAAATATCAAAAACAAATTTTAATAAGAAAAATTAAATGTTTTTTTTACCTTTTTTTAGTTATTGTTATTATTAGTGAATTATACTTTGGATATTCTTATTATATTTCTATTAATACAATATCTCACTTATCTTAATTAATTCCAGAATTTAATGTTACTTCGTCAGCAGAGTAGTTTTATAGCTTTTCTTGTAATTCTCTTACTTAACTTCTTATAAATCCTAATTTTTAGGTTAAAGAATAAAACTCTTATGAATAAGTATTAAATTCGATTCCAGAAATTTACTAGCTAAATAATAATATATAAAAATAGCATTCACTTAATATAAATATACATTAAGATGAATATAACTAATAATACAATCTTATTATGATGGAACAAAGTTGTAATTATTTATCAGAGCAAAAACTACTAAGTCAACTTGGATGCTAAAATTTTGCTAATAAGATTCTATTATAAGGACTTTCAATAGGTCTATCACATTTCGCATAAAATTATATTATAGTTAAGTCTTAATATGACTAAAAAATCAATAATATTGAATTAATTAAAGGATAAGAAATATAAGATCTTTAAAAAATGTAAGATATATATCTAAGAGTAATGTATAGATTTCTTATATAATAATTTTCTAAAGATATATAAAATATTATTTCATAAATTCAAATTATTAAAATTATTTTGGTTATTATAAATAATTGTATTGTTTTTGCATTGTATTTTGTCTTATGGATGCCTATCTTAAATAATTTATAAAGGTAAATTTAAAGAATTAGAAGCATGATATCCATGGTTCCTCTTGATATAATTATTTAAATTAAGAAATTTAGATATATATTATAACCTTATATTTCAAAATCCTATAGCTTCAAATGAATTTTTTATTTAATTAGTGTATATATAAGTCTTTTCTTTTATTATTATAAAATTATTTGATTAAAGAAAATTTTTTTCATTTAGTATTTTTAATATAAAATATAAATTTATTTTTTGTAATTTATTTTCTAAAAATTTAATATTATATTATTTTATAAAAATTAACATCTTTAAACTATTAAAAAAATTAAATATTGTAATTTATCTTTTTTCAATCAATAAATAAATTAAATTGTTAGTTTATTTATAATATTTTAATAATAAAAAAAACCTTTACAAATTTTATAATAAAAAAAAATCATAAAATAGTATAAATTTATTATTAAAGCTAAATTTAGATTAATTAACTTTTTATATCATAAATAATTTATTAGTTTTAATAATTAATTAAATAAAATAAAAACATTGAAATTTTGAATTATTTATTGTTATTAAAGATTTAAAAATAATAAGTAATTATTGTAAAAAAGCATATACAAAATAATAAAATAAAAATAAATAATTACTTAAATTTATATTTGTATTATATGTATAAAAATATAATTTTATATATTCTAATCATATTATATTCTTAACAAAATATAAGCAATTATTAGTTTTTCAACTTTTTTCTTAAATACTTATACTATTATTAATTTTTTATGTATATTATTCTGATAAATAAATAATTACAAATATAATATTTTGTTTTATATAATAATAATAAAACTAAAACTCATTAGTTTATGGTTATGTTTTTTAAAAAAGTAATATTATATTTTTATCGATTTTTTTAATATTTCAATAATTTTTTTTAATAAACTTAATCAACTAAAATAAATAAGGGTTTTTCATTATCTATTTTTTATCGCTTTTTTTTGATAATTGATTATTTAACAAAAAAAAAATACAGAAATATATAATAATTTATAAGCAAGTCATATAATAAATTAAATATCTTTTTTTGTTTTTAAAAATAAAATTAAACATTTAAAAAGAAAATAATAAAATAATAAAAGCAAATAAATAAATGAAAGCCCTTATTTTAGTAGGAGGATTTGGAACAAGATTAAGACCTTTAACATTCTCTTGCCCTAAGTCAATAGTTGAGTTTGCAAATAAACCAATAGTAACTCACTAGATAAAAGCACTTGTAGATGTAGGAGTCAAGGAAATAATATTAGCAGTTGGTTTCCAACCTAAATCAATGATTGAAAAAATATAATAATTTGAAAAAGAAGTAAATTTTTAAATATTTTTGTTAACTATATTGTAATTTTATTTTATTTTTAGTTTGGAGTTAAAATTATTTGTTCTTAAGAAACAGAACCTTTAGGAACTGCGGGACCTATTAGACTTGCAAAAGAAATTTTAGAAAAAGATAATTAATCTGAACTTTTTTTGTTTTTAATAGTGATATTATTTGCGAATTCCCTCTCGAAAAAATGCTTAAATTCCATAAAAAACATGGGAAAGAAGGTACTATTTTACTTACTTAAGTAAAAGATCCTTCAAAATATGGTGTTATATTATCTGATTAAGATGGTAAAATTTAAAAGTTTGTTGAAAAACCAAAAGAATTTATTGGTGATAGAATTAATGCTGGTTTATATTTATTTAACACTTCTATGATTAACAGAATACCGGTTTAATTTATAAAACAAAATTATTAATATTTATATATATAAAATAAAGCTTGAACCAAAATCATTAGAAAGAGATATATTCCCAAAAATGTCTTCTGATGGTTAATTATATTCATAAGATTTAGAAGGATTTTGGATGGATGTTGGTTAACCCGAAGACTTTATTATTGGAACATAATTAATATTAGATTCTTATAAAAAAAATACTCCTGAAAAATTATCAACAGGTTAAAATATTATTGGTAACGTTTTAATTGTAAAACTATATATATTATTTTTATTAAAATTTTTATAAAATTAAATTATAGGAATCGAGTTCTAAGATATCTGCAAACTGTCTTATTGGACCTAATGTTACTATAGGTTCTAATTGTGTTATAGAGGACGGTGTTAGACTATAAAATGTTATTGTTCTTAGTAATTGTACAATTAAAGCATATACATGGGTTAAAGATTCTATAATTGGATGGGATTGTAGTGTTGGAAAATGGGTAAATATATTTGTGTTATTTATTTTCTAAATTTATTTTATTATATTTAGGTGAGAATTGAAGGATTATCTGTTTTAGGAGAAGATGTTCATATTAAAGATGAATTATTTATTAATCAAGCTAAGATATTGCCTCATAAAGCTATAACATCGAATATTAGTGAGAAAGGATAAATCTTAATGTGAAAAAAGTGAAAAAATTAAATATTAATTTAAAAATTTTAAATGTTTTTATTTTATATATTATCAAAGAGTTATTTAAATATGAATTATATACTTATAATAAAAATAATAATATTTAAATATATTTTATATATATGAATTAAAATTATAATTTTAATAAAATATTAATATATATATTTATAATATATTAAACTTTTATTTAGTAATATATATTTTATATAAATATGTAATAATATACCTTTAATATTTAAATTAATTAAAATGTGAATATATATAAAAATTTGAACTATTTAACCTTTATTTGCTTAAAATTTTAACCTAAAACAATCAAAATTTAAAATAAATATTTACTTTAAATAAAAATTCAATTTATTGAATATAAGCATAATTTATATTATTTTAAAAAAATAAAAATAAATTTAAATTTTAAAAAATTTTCTTTTTAAATTAGAAAATAAATTTATAATTTTATTTTTTTATGACACTCATTTTCTTAAAATCATATTACAAAAAATTTATAAATAATAAAAATCAATTTCTAAATTAAAATGATTAGAAGAGTTAATCCAACAAATTTAATTGATTTTAATTAATAACATTTGAAACCTTAAATTGTAACATATTTAGAGTCTCCTAGATAATAGACTACTCAAGTTTCTACATATAAATTATTTCGAAAATCTTATGATAGTAATTGCTAAAATATAAACGTAATTTAAAGATATAAATAAAATTCAACTATGATGGAATAAAAAAAAAATCATAGCATTGTAAATGCTCGAAATGAATATTTTTAAACCACTAATAAAATAAATCAAAGTTAATTAAATTAATAATAATATATTAATTATGCAAAAATATAATAAAGTTAAGAAAGACATAAGTTTTAGAAATCATAAAGTAATTCATAAAAAACCAAAATTTCGCAAAAACCAAATTAGGATTTTACATATAATTAATAATAAATGAATTTAACATTAAATGATAATAACTCACTTAATAATAATTAAAATTCAATTTATTCGGATAAATCACCATAGCCAAATAAAAACTAATACCAACATAATAATGCAATATCTGTATAGGTTAAATATAATATTTTATTTGGCAAAAAAATAATTATTAATATAGAGTAGTGCAATCAGCTTTAAATGCAATAAATAAGGATATAGTTAATTCTAAACTGAAAACAAAACTTAATTATAAGGTAATTATTATATAAATAAAAAATATTAAAATCAAATAACTATATACTATATAAATTTATAAATTAAAGATCAAATTATATACATAATATTATATTAAATTTTATAATAAATTTTAAATTTATATATTTAATAATGGCAAGTTATTTTATAACAAAAATATATAATTCTATTATTTTCATTAAGTTATATTTATATTTATATTCATAATTAGAAACTTATTAATTTACTGAATTTAATGATTCTTAATTAACTTAAAAAAAAATTAATAGTAGTAACGTATTAAACTCTACTAGAATATCAAATTAGATAAATACTTGTAAAAATTCTGATGCTGATGCAAATAAAATTATAAAGAATTTTATGTAAAATTAAGATTTACAACATATGAGCTAATAAAAAGGTATTTATGATAATTTAAATTATTTTTTATTAAAAAAATTTAGGAAACATATAAAAAGTTGAAAGAGGTGTAGTTAAATCTAGAATATACTATAAAGATGGATAATTATATGAAGGGTAATTAAAATGCATAAATGTACGCTCAGGAAAAGGTAGATTAGTTGAAATAGATGGAAGCTACTATGAAGGTGAATTTATAAACGATAAGAAATAAGGGAAAGGATCATTATTCGCTTAAAATAAGATAATAATATATGATGGAGAATGGGTCAATGATTTATATCATGGTAGAGGGGTTCTTTATAACTAAATATATGATAATAATTAAATTTACTATAAAAATTTTTCTTATAATCAAAACTCGTGGGTTTCTTATCAAGGATTTTTTTAAAATGGTAAAAAACATGGGACTGGATTATTAAAATTTCATGATAATTCTTCTTTTTTTGGTACCTTTTCAAATGATTTTATAGAAGGAGCAGGAGTTTTTAAACCAAATCCTAAATTAAAAATAGAATAAGTTGCAGGATAATGGATTTAAAATTAATTAAAAGAAGTTATATGAATTAATATATTGTATAATTAAAATATTTATTATATAAAGTTAATTTTTATATTACTAAATAAATATTATTAAATATATATATATATATATATATATATATATATATATATATATATATATATAATAATAATACCTAAATCTTTTCCGAATATTTTTTTAAAAAAAATTAAAATTAAAAGAATTTTTTATTAATAAAACTATTATATACACACCGAATAAATATTATATATATATATATATATATATATATATATATATATATATATATATAAAATAAATATATCCATATATATATTTATAATATATATATAATAATATATTTTTTTTGATTTTAACTTTTTTGATTTTAAATTTTTAAACTTTTTCATTCTTTCAATAATTATTTTAACTTTTTTTTACTTTTTATACACTGAAATCTTATAATTATTATTTTTAAGTTCATTTTTTTTTCCTATTTTTTATTTTTTTTATTTTCTTCTAATAATTTATAAAATCATCTATATATATATATTAATTTTCAATGTAATTTTTTTAGTAATACTATTTTATTTTTTTATTTATATGTATTTTTTAAATAAATATTTTTATAGATTTTTTTATTATTTTTTTTAAATATTGCTATTATTTTTTATTATTTATCTAATTATTTTATATATTTATTTATAGAACAAATATTTTTTTTCGTTTGATTTTTCATTCTTTTTTATTTATTTTTAAAACTTTATTTATTTTATTTTTTTCATATTATAACCCTATTAATAATACTATAATATATGATAAAGCTTTTTCGACATATAATTTCATCTACTTTTTTTATCGAATATTATATTTATTGCAATAAATCATTCTTATTATCCAATCTATTTATTCCAATATCTTTTTTTATTATATTCTAAATTAGTTCAATTGGATTGTATTACGGTGAATATATCGGCGAGTATAAATAATGAATTTTATTTTTAATTTTTTTTTAAAATTCTTTTGAATTATGGCATCCTGCTTAATCATATATAAAAATATGTTTTTTAAAATTACTTTATAAAGAAATTATTTATAACAAATAAGTTAAAAATCCCATAAATATCTTTTTATTAACCCAACCTTCAACTATTATATATTCAATAAATTTCTAATTAGACATAGCACCTAATAATGTTAAATGTTTAATTTTCTAAAATTGTTTTTCCTATCTATTCATTCCTTTTGTAATCCACATATAATTGTTTTAAATATTTATATTAAGTCCATTTTCATCAATGAAAATCGGAATAAAATTGTGAATTAAAATGTAAGTCATTTCCAAAACAAATTGCTTTATTTAAATTAATTTCAGGTTTGTATTACCCTTTCCTTTTAAAATTTAATTTACATTTTTTTTTTCAATAATTATGTAAAACCTTATAGTTACATAAATTTTCTTTTAAGATTAAATTAACTTTCTGTTTTTTTCATAATTTATTTTGAATTGTTAAATTTTTAATCAGGGTTCATTGATAATTATTTGATCGAATTAGCTATGTTATCATTAAACAAAACATTATTATTTTTATTATTAAAGATATTTGGATGTAAACCAGAATTAATTTTCATTTTTACATAATTTATTTAATTAAGTTTTTAATATTATTTATTAATTACTATAATTTTATTAAATCATTTCTTATGCCAAACATATTTTTTTATTTCTTTCATTAAGTTTTTATTGTTATTTGTTTTCTTTTTTTACTATATCATTTTAAGTTTCAAAAAGATTGCCATACATATTAAACAACATATAAAGATAAATTTGAGCTTATTTTTTTTATAATTATTTTAAAATTTTATATTAAAATTTATCATTAAAATAATATTCTTAATATTATTTTAATTATATTTCTTCAAAAGTATATTTATTATTTGCATTTATAAAATCGCTTATTTTTTATTTTACTTTCCATTTATTTTACTCCATTATATTTTTATTTTATTTTATATATAATAATATTTTAATTATTACAAAATATTTAAACCTATTTAATGTACTTAATTTAAATTTATAAAAGCCTTAACTGAGGACTTTTTCAATTTTATCTAAATTAAATTATTATGTTTTTATATTTATTAAAATGTTAAAAAAATAATTTTAATCATATGTAATTTTGGAATAAAATAATATATAAAAAAAAATACATGAATAATTTTTATTTTAATTTTTAATTACCAAAAAACAAAAAAAACAGTAAAATAAAAATAGAAAAATATATTTTGTATTATTTAAAGTAAAGTAAAATTATTTATTTGATATTATTAAATTAATGTCGATAATAAATAAATTAATAAAAAAAATATAATTTTAAAAATAAAATAATAAAAAATGTAAAAAATAAATGTGGAAAATATTGGGAGAAGTTTAAGAAATATCTCTTTAAGATATTAATGCAAAATTTGGATGCAAATATAACTTTTATTATTTGTTAGTATAATTAGGGTATTATTTACTTAAATTATAAGATAGATGTGTTACTGCTAATTATTTGCCTGAAGTATCTCTTGCTAGAAATTATTGCACTTAAAATTATTAAATGGAGGAGATTTTCTAGTAAAAAAAAAAAACTAAAATCTAACTATATGAAATTCTGCTCGAGTTAGTTAAAAAAAAAGCTTATAATATTTAGGTTTTGATAATCTCAGTCTCACAAACAAATAATTTATTACTGATCTAGTCTATATTTTAAACAAAGATAATTATATATTTAAATTTTTTAAAAATGGTGATGAACAAATAACAATTGAATTTCCACATTTCAATTATATATATATAAATAAATATATTAAAATTAAAATATAAAATT